GGGCGACGACCTGGCCACCCTGGTGGCGCTGACTCAGCTGGGCTCCCTGCTGGAGGGCCTGCCCGTGCTGGAGGGCGGCAGCACAGAGGTGGCCCTGGTCGCGGAGGAGCTCAACAGCTGGGCGCCCGTGGCAGCCAGGGAGAAGCTGCTGCTCATGATGGTGCAGGTGCGGGGCGGGGGGACCAGGCGGGGGTGCGGGCGCGCGGGACGCGGCGGGCGGCGGGCAACGTGCGTCTGGCTGGGGTCGTGGCGGGATAATTTCGTCCCAGCGGCCACGCACCCCACCGGCACCAAACGTGTGAATGGGGCCGAAGCCGTGTTGCAGACGGCCTAAGCCTTGTCTTCTGGCTGAAAATATCGGGTTCGCCGGGCACCTGAGGCAGCCCTGCTGTGCCCGGCCACCTCGAGCCCCCTCACCCCTTACACACACTGCCTCCATCGCGCTCACGCAAGCATCCACACACGTGACCACACACACAGCCCAACACGTACATCCACATATTTCCCCCACATACACATATACATACATATCAACCATCCCCTCATCCTTTTGCCCCCAACGCCCAGATCGATGAGGAGAAGGCGGACCTGCTGGCGCGCCTGATGCAGCTGAGGCCGGAGGAGGCGATGCCCCGGATCCGCGCGCAGCTCGACGCGACGGGCGGCGTCGGCGTGTGATGCGGGGCAGTGCGGGCCTTCGGGGCCATTGGGCCTGGGGCTGCTGCTGGTGCGGTTGGCGATGCCGGTGCCGCAGCGGTTTGTCCCTCCCTGCATCAGGCCCTGTTTCCAGCTCGTTTTTTTTGGTTGGCTATGCTGGTGATTCGGCCTCGAGGGGTGTCGCGTGTGCCATGCGTAATCCAGTGTATCTTGTGGTGCCCATGACAGCGCGTTACACAAGGTGGGCCGCGATGAATGTGCGTATGAAGCATCAGCCGCCGGCGGGCACTCTCCTCCCGTCGCCACTCAGTCGGCGCTCTACGCGCCGGGCGGGACGAGCGGGCCGGGGGCGGCCGACCGCTCGCAGTGCAGAAATGGAGGATCCCGCGCGCCCGGCAGGATCAAAATTAGACAGCTCGCCGGATCAAATGCGACCGGCGGGGGTTGCTGCACACACAAGCGCAGGGCCGCCGCCCGTGCGGCCGCGCGAAAGCGGGGGCTGCATGGTAGCACACTCGCAAACCCCGAGTGCTTGCCCAGGCGGCGCTCGTGCTGCGTGATTCAAGTGCTGCGCCACGTGTGGCCCTCTCGATTGTCGCGCTCGCCGGCGCGCGGCTCGGCGCGCTGCATAGCCTCAGCGTCGCGACAGTGCCCTCTCTCAAGACCGGTTTCAAAAAAAGTAGGGGTGGCTTGCGCGCTCCGCGCCCGGAAAAAGCCAGGACACACCCCAGCTGCGCTGCGCCGGACGCGGCTGCCGCTAGCATGGCGCGGCAGGCGCCCAGGCGGGCGCTCATGGGTGCCCCCGGGGCTCCGCGGGGCCTCTTAAGCGAGGAAGCCGAGCCACTCCCCGTTCTTCTTGGCCAGGCGCACCACCGCCTGCACCTGCTTGTTGTCCACGCCGACCTGCTTGCAGAAGTCCTTGATCACTGCAGGGGCGGGCGGGTGCGGGCACGGGGCGATTTTGGGCGCAGCGCCGGCGGGGGGGCCCACTCTCCAGCCAGCAGCTGCAGCGCCGCGACAAGGGACAGCCAGGCCCCGCTGCTGCCAGAGCGGGGGGAGCGCGACAAAGTGGAGCTCCACACCAGGCCTTGCTTGCGATCAGAAGATGCACCGCATTGCAATGATTGCTACACGATGTTTGTGCTGCGCTCTGGTGCACACCTTGAGAGTGGACTGAGATGGCCTTGCCCCGGAGCTTGTTGAACTCCTTCTCCCCAACAATGTTGCGCACCACCACCACCAGCGGCGCAAATGGGCCGCCCGCGCCCTTGTTACCCAGCCGCACCACCTGCCGCTTCGGAGCCACTGCAGAGTCGAGGCGGGGATCGGGGGCGACGCGGGGCGCGCTCGGCGTGAGGCAGTGGTAGGCTATGTTGCCCCACGCGCGCACCATGCATTGGCCCTGAGCAGGCCAGCCAGCGCTCAATTGTACTTATTATATGCGTTCTTAATGTACGTGTGCGCGCGGACCGCCCATTGTGACGAACAATTTTGCGGAAGCTCCGGGCCTCACCTGCGCTTGATCTGCACACCGCGACAGGCTGCGCAATCGTGTTGCTGCAAGAAGTCCCCCAGTCACCGCCCAACTGCACTCGCGACGAGTAGGCCAGCGCCCGCACGCTCGCCGGGCAAGCCACCCCTCCGTGCGCTGATCTGCTGCTGCCACCGCTGCCGAATCGGGCCCGTGAGCCCATGCAGCTGCTGCTAAATGCTGCTGCCATGCTGAAGCTGGTCTGTCCGTCCAGACGGGTCGAGGTGTTGGAGGGCGTTGTCGGGCGCGAACGTGAGGCCTGCGAAGACCGCGATAGAACGATGGCAAAAGAACGTCACAACTGTAATTTGTGTTGGGAGGTTGGATACGGATAAGCTGGTGCAGGTGCAAGCGGCCGGCCGGACACCAGGCCGTCGTCACTGCAAGGCAAAACCGCCACACCGACCGTGCGAGCACGCGACGGAGCGTGGTGGGCCAGCAGTAAGACGTGCATTCGAGCATGATGTTGTCAGAGATAGAATAGAAGTATATCTCAACTACCTTGGAGTCGTAGTCGGCCGTCACCGTCTCACCGGGGATCAAAGGAACAAGTGTGCGGCAAGCAGCGGAGTGCACAAAGCGAGTGGGGTATCCCTGCCCGTACCCGTTCCACCGGGACTCGTATCACAAAATGAGATATGCATGTTGTGCATCGACGTTTGATGCCCTGTCTTCCCAAATTCGAATGAGTATGATACCTTTGAGCCAGAGGCTCGGACTGCCCTTCGACGTCGCCTAGTGGCTTGCTGGGCACTCCCGTTCCCCGCAGCCTTGGCGCATGCTCTGCCGTCCTCATCGCAACACCCCGATCCATACAAGCATAGCCCTTTTGAGAAGGCAGGTCTACAGGGTGTCTAGCCGCCACTGCCGCTCAAACGGTGGTGACGCACTCAGCCATCAGCCCCTCTCACAAATCCACCCACGCGCCCTTGCACCAAGCCACAGGCAGCTGCAAGGCAGCTGCATGCGGCATGCAGCCAACAACACAGCATGCAGCCTGCCAAAACCATTCCGCTTATGTTTGTTACTGCGAAACCGGCGCAGGTCGCGCAACGGCCGGCTTCGGTTCGCAATGGGCGCCGGCCATGCCGGGCATGCGGCACTGGGCTGAGCCTGCGCGGTACCGGAGCCTCTCCAGGCGCGGCGCAGCATGCCAAGCACCCCATTGCCCTGAATACAGGCAAAGAGGGGCTTGCACGTGGAAATGATTGAGAAGGTCTTGAAAGAGGCGTCGGTACAGCCACATATCGAGCGCGCCGGCCCGGGATATGGTGCGGCGGCGCGCGCTCCAGCCGCGCTCCAGCCCCGCGGCTTGCAGGGCGACCACATGGGGTGATGGCAGATTGCCGCGCTTGGCCGGGCACGACGCTCACGCCCTCGGCGGGCGGCCGCCGGGCGACATCAGAAAAATCGTCCAACGCAGGTCATGTGAAACTGCAACAGCTGCCGCACACGCACCAAAAACCATTCGTGGCCGCGTGGAGGGGCGGGGCTCGGCGGCAGGCAATGTGCCGCCACCTCTGGCGCCGCCGCCTCGAGACACCGCCAGAATGGGCGGGCAGCGCCAAGCGGAGCAAAGCAGCCGCCCACGTCGCTGTGGCAGCTGTTGCTGTGGTTGTTGCTACTGAGTTCACGCCGCGCGACGCTCGCTACGGCCCAATGGGCTGGTGCATCCCGCCAATCTGCTGGGCTGCGCGCTCCTCCTCCTCCGCACGCATCACCTGCACACAGCACGCGCGCGCGCGCACAGCAACGGTGGCGGCAGCCACGGGTGATGCACGCCAACAGGTTCCCCACCCAAAATAGGGGCAGTGGGGTCCAAAAACGCACGCTGCCGTGCGTATAAAGGAACGCGGGCCGGGCGCTGTCGCTCTCTGAGCCCCGGGGGTGTCGGCGCGTCACGGCTTGACGCTGTTGGACGCGGGGTGGGGGCCGCCGCCGCGGCCGCGCTGCGTGCCCACCTTTTCCAACTCCTTCGCACCGACCTCGGTCACAGAGGAGTCCGGGTAGCTGGTGCAGGATAGGCGGGGGTGTGGGGTGCGGGGGCGGAGGAGGTTGTTTGAAGGGCGGCCGCAGGCAGTGGCACCGAGCAAGAGGCGCGCACGCCACGAGTCAGGTGAAGGGAGGGGGGCGCAAAATGGGACGCGAGACGCTGACGCGGTCGCGTGCGGCATTTGCGCCCGGCTCGGAGCGACGCGGCGCCGCCCCTCGTGACCAGTCCCCCCCTCTTCCCCTGGTCTCTTCAAGTACCGTCCACGCCCCACCCCAAGGCCCGTCCTGTGAAGCAATCCACACCCCCTCCTGGCGCCAACGCGCCGCCCGCCACCCTTGGCGCGCAGGCTTCTGCCCCCGCCGTGCGAGGCGGCAGCCGCGGCGCGCGCACCGTATGAGGTAGTCCAGGGCGAAGACCGTCAGCGGCACCGCCAGCAGCAGCCCCCAGACCCCCAGGCTGTGCTCTGCCACCACCAGGGCGCACAGGACCATGAGGGGGTGCAGCTTGAGGTGCGCGCTGTAGATGGCCGGGTTGAGGCCGTAGGCCTGGGGTGGAGGAGGAAGGCGAGGAGGCGCAGGGCGCGCCCGCGAGTGAGGGTCGCGGCAGCCGCGGGGCGCGGCGCGCCGTGCGAGCGTGCGTTCCACGGCGCGCGGCACACGCTCAGGCAAGAGCGACCAGCGACGTCGCCGCGAGCGGCCGCGAGGGACGAGGCCCCGAACCGCCGGCACGAGCTTGAGGCTGTAACCTGGGACACGCTGACATTACATAGACTGCGTCAGATCACGCCAGATCATGCCACGCACCTCCACGAAGTGGACGCCCGTGACCATGAGTATGACGAGCGCCAGCTTCATGAAGCCGTACTCGGTGAGGGCCACGAACCCGATGGGCGTGGTGGATATGATGACCCCCGCGATGGGGATGAAGCTGCAGATGAATACGAAGAGGGACAGCAGGCCGACGCCGGGGATGGCCAGGGCCCACATGCCGAGGGCGGTCAACCCGGTGTTGACCATCGCGATGCGCGCCTGGGGTTGGAGGTTATTGAGGGAGAGAGAGGGGTAGGAGGGAGATGGAAGGTGGCGGCTTGGAAAAGCTGCCAGGCTGAGTCAGGAGGCGGGACTGGCGCTCCAGGGTTGGTTCGAGGCAGCTGCCGGCACAGTTGCCTGTCAACATGCTCCCTACGCCCGTGTTGCACATGCATACGTGTGCACATGCGCCTGCCCACATATCTACACACACACACACACACACACACACATACATGCGCCCACTATCACACACACAAAGGACACGCAAGCGCGCCCCTGCACCCCCCACCTGTGCCTCCAGCGCCTTCCCAAACAGCTTGCCAAACACCCCGAGCACGGGCGCCACCTCCTCATATAACGGAGCCAGCCGCGACTGCGATCAAGGAGTGGCAGGGACATGTACGGCGCAGGGGTCAGCACTGGGAGCAGCTGCGGGAGCGGATTTACGAACCCTGCACTGCCAAACTTGCAGCTGCTCGTGCGGCAGAAATGCCACGTCGCACGAGGAGCAAGCGTATCCTGCTGGTTCCTCTATGTCATGAATGCACCCGCGCACGTGCGTGTGAGCGCGCGCGCGCGCAGAGACACACGCGCGCGCATACACTCACACGCACATGCACTCACATACACACACATGTACCCCTCATGCACGAACATGAACACATACACCCAACCCAGCCCTGTGCTGCTGCGCCGCACACACCTGCTTGAGGCTCTCCACCCCTCTGCTGATGAGGGGGAGATCCCACAGCGTGAAGAACCCCAGGATCAGAGCCACAAACACCTGACGGTTTGGGGGTGCCGGGGACGATGGTTTGAAGGGCAAGGGTGTTGAGGGGTGCGGGGGAGGCGGCGTGAGGGTGAGGGCGAGGGCGGGGGTGAGAGCGAGTCGTCCGTCGTCGGCAGCTGGGGCCCTGCGCCTGCCTGGCCTTGAGCACCTGCTCCTGCGCTGCACGCTTCCCCCTGAACACCAGTCACGGCACCAAGTGACTGTCTGGCGCCTGGAACCACGGGCGCTCCAACCTGTATCCGACCGCCCCTCGACCACCGTGCACAACCACCCCCCGCCCCTCCAGACCTGTATGGTGAAGCGCGTGACGCTCTTGAGCATGGCGGTGATG